AAGAAGTTTGGTCACTTTGCTAGAGATTGTTGGTCAAACAAGGAGAGAAAATCAGAAGAAGCAAATATAGCCAGAAGTTCTGATGAAGAATCTGTGCTATTGATGGCCTCTGAATCTGATGATATGGATCTGACAGACTGGTGGTATATGGACACTGGCTGTTCAAATCATCTTACTGGAAATAAGAAATGGCTGGTTGGCTTTGACTCTGAAAAGAGGACAAAGATCAGATGTGTTGATGACAAATATCTTAACGCAGAAGGTATGGGAAATGTCAGAGTGATTCTGAACAATGGAAAAACAGCATTGATTCAGAATGTGTGGTATGTACCTGGCATCAGAAGCAATCTGATGAGTGTGGGACAATTAATTGAGAAAGGTTTTTCAGTTACCATGAAGGACAATCTTCTGAAGCTGTATGACTATAATCAGAAGTTGATTATGGAGTCAGAACAGGGAAGGAATAGAACATTCAAGGTGAATGTCAGAACTGCAGACTCAGAATGCCTTAGTGCAACAAGTGCTGAGAAGGAAAGTGAGCTGTGGCACATAAGATTTGGTCATTTGAACTTCAGAAGCTTAAAACATCTGAATTCAAAAAAGTTGGTACATGGAATTCCTACAATTAAGAAGTCTGAAAAGTCATGCAAAGTTTGCATGGAAGGAAAACAACCACGTTTGCCATTTGCGTTAGAAGCTGCTCCAAGAGCAAAACATGCCTTGGGAGTTGTACATTCTGATGTGTGTGGTCCATTTCCAGTAGCATCAATTGGAGGGAATAAATACTTTGTGTTATTTGTTGATGAATTCATAAGAATGACATGGGTATCCCTTATTAAGTTCAAACATGAGGTGTTTGATGAATTTAAGAAGTTCAGAATGAAGGCTGAGAATCAGAGTGGTCAGAAGTTGAAGATTCTTAGAACTGACGGTGGAGGTGAGTATAACTCCAAAGAGTTCCAGAAGTTCTGTGAGGAGAATGGAATTGAGCATGAGGTTACTGCTCCTTATACCCCTCAACACAATGGTCTTGCTGAAAGAAGAAACTACACTTTGCTTGATATGGTGAGAAGCATGCTAAAGGAGAAGAAGCTTCCTCAGAAGCTCTGGGGAGAAGCTGTTGCCACTGCAACGTATGTACTCAACAGATGTCCTACGAATAAGTTGAAGGAAATAGTTCCAATACAGAAGTGGACTGGAGATAAGCAAAGTGTTAGTCATCTGAAGGTGTTTGGTTCTGTTTGCTATAAACATGTTCCAGAAGGCAGAAGACAGAAGTTGGATGATAGAAGCAAAGTGATGATTCTGATAGGGTACCACAGTACAGGTACATACAAACTCTATTGTCTAGAAACCAATAAAATTGAGTTCAACAGAGATGTGATTGTGAAGGAATCAGAAGTTTAGAATTGGGATAAGTCTCAATCTGATTCTGATGTTAGAACTTCTGAAGAAAGGTCAGAGTTAAGAATTTCTGAAGTTGAAGTAAACTCTGACGCTGATTCTGACGCTGATAGTGATTCTGACTCTGGAGAAGACTCAAAAGATGAAGGTGACTCTGATGATCTAGACTCTGATGGTAATCTAGATTCTAGTGGCAATTCAGACTCTGAAGATGGCCAAGACTCTGAAAATATGTCAGATCTTGAAGATGGTCAAAGCTCTGAAGGAAGTCAACCATCTGAAGCTGGAAACTCTGAAGCTCAAGACTCTGAACAAGTTCAGAGACCACAAAGAATCAGAAGCGTTCCCAAAAGATTTACAGAATTTGACATGCTGCAAGACACTGAAGTAGATTCTGAAGGAGAAGTTATTCAGTGTGCCATGTTAGTAGACTATGAACCCATAAGTACAGAGGAGGCTCTTAAGCAGAAGCCCTAGATGAAGGCCATGAAAGAAGAACTTGATGCTATAGAGAGAAACAAGACTTGGAAGCTGACAGAACTTCCAAAAGACAAGAAAGCCATCAGCGTCAGATGGGTTTTCAAGCAGAAGTTAAAGCCAGATGGTTCAATTGGCAAACATAAAACAAGGTTGGTAGCCAGAGGATTTCTTCAGAAACCTGGGTTGTATTACTCTGAAGTGTTTGCACCTGTAGCAAGACATGAAACAATCAGAATGGTGATTGCAATAGCTGCTAACAGGAATTGGCCTCTGATGCATTTAGATGTAAAATCTGCATTTCTGAACGGTCCATTAGAAGAATAAGTTTACGTGTCACAACCTCCTGGATTTGTAAAAAAGAATCAAGAAGGGATGGTGTACAGATTATACAAAGCTCTATATGGATTGAAACAAGCGCCCAGAGCTTGGAATCAGAAGATTGATTCATTTTTCAAGAAGCAAGGCTTTCAGAAATGTGAGATGGAGTACGGTGTCTATGTTCAACATACTTCTAAAGGCAATATGACTCTGGTATGTTTATATGTTGATGATATACTGCTGACTGGAAGTTCTGAACAGGAGATAGCCAAGTTCAAGAAGGTTCTGATGAATGAATTTGAAATGACTGCTCTAGGCAAAATGACATACTTTCTAGGGATGGAGTTCAGATATTCTGAGAAAGGTATCATTTTGCATCAGCTCAAGTATGAATTAGAACTTCTGAAGAGATTTGAACTGTAGGATTGTAAGATTGTTGTCACACCTTCTGATACCAATCAGAAACTGGATTCAGACTCTGAAGGAAAGGATGTGGATGCTACAACCTTCAAACAGTTGGTTGGTTCTCTGAGGTATCTGTGCAATACCAGACCTGATATTTGTTATTCAGTTGGGATGGTTAGTAGGTTCATGAGTAAATCTAAGTGGTCCCATTACCAAGCTGCTGTCAGGATTCTGAGGTATATCAAGGGAACTCTGAAGTATGGAGTGTTGTTTCCTTCTGGAAGAAAAAATGAGTCAGAACTTCTGAGTTATTCAGATTCTGATTGGTGTGGAGACAGAGTTGACAGAAGAAGTACATCTGGGTACTTGTTCAAATTTCTGGGAGGTCCCATTTCTTGGTGTTCCAAGAAGCAACCTGTTGTGGCGTTGTCAACCTGTGAATCTGAATACATTGCAGGTGCTGTTACTGCATGCCAAGCTGTGTGGATTCTGAATTTGTTGCAGAATCTGAAGATTAAAGTAGACAAACCTCTGAAGTTGATGATTGACAACAAGTCCACAATCAATCTTGCCAGAAACCCAGTGTTGCATGGGAGAAGCAAGCATATTGAGACCAAGTATCATTTTCTGAGACATCAAGTTCAGAGTGGAGTGCTAGAAGTTGTACACTGCAGCACTCAGAAGCAGTTGGCAGATGTTCTGACGAAAGCTATCAAGACTGATCAATTTCTCAGACTAAGAGATGGAATTGGTGTTACAAGTTTTGATGGAATATGAATTAAGGGATGATATTAGAATATTAGAAGTAATTCATATTTATTTAGTTGTACTACTTTCTTAGCCCCTAAGTTTGTTAGAGGGTATTTTAGTATTTTATCTTATTCTATTAACCCTAGTTTTAGCTTATACATAGGGTGACAATCATTGTAACTTTTATCATGTTTTTGTAGCCGTCATTCTCAATAGAATATTTCTCTATTCATCATTTTATTCACCTTGCACCAACACTATCAGAGTCACAATCAAAATCTTTTACACGAAATTTCATCATAACCATTCTTTAAGAGCGTTCGAGAACTTGACGTAATCTTATAAAATGCACTTTTGTATTTCTTCAGAGTTAAAGTGTGTTGAGTACAGAATCTGATGACGTCACATGTCAAATCTTTAGAATCAAATGTTGTTAGCGATAGCTACCGACTAGACAAAATTATTAGGGTACAAAATTGTTCTCTAAAAAACAATGTATTGTTATCATCAAAACTAAAGATAAGATGCAAAACCAAATATTATTCTTATTACAGAGAATCCAAATGTTCATCTATAAAAATATTGTATCTCATAGAATAATGAATGTAATTTTTAAAATAATTAGTTTTCCCATTAAAAAGTGATAGTAATGCAGTTTGTTTGTTGTATGTTGTCTTATATTTTTGTATAATCTTTATTATATATCATTTTAAGAAATTACGTTAAATTTTAATAATAAATATTTAAAATATTGGATATCAAAATTACTTTCTTTTAGTTTATAAATAATTAATTTTTATTATTTTAAAATATTTTTTTATAAAAATCATTTTTTGAAAGTACAAATAATTCTTTTTAAAAAATGTATAACAAACTGCTCTAAAATCTAGCAACCACACACACAGTTTAACAACACACAGATTCCTGTTCCGGGTACAAATAGCATATACCATTTGATAAAAAAAATAGCATATACCATTTCTTATCCTACTTTGACAAATTGAATAAATTATTGATCTTTGCTTCCCAAAAGTTGAATAAAAAATGTGAACACAAACAAATTTCTAAGCACGTCACTGAATTTCATTTCAAACCATGTTCTAAATGTATTAAATCAGTTGGTAAATCCCTCTCTTCCTAATCAAAGATAACTAAATTTCATTTTTTTTTACCATTTTGTAACTAAATATCTACGTAGCATCGACACTTCTAATCGAATCAAAGGCTAGCCTGGGACACAAAACCTCCTCTCACACCAACATTTATAATCATATTTAAATATAATGTGGAAGTATTAATATTCGTGTCTATGTCGTATCCGTATCGGTGTCTGTATCGCCTAAATGACATTACATTTTCCAAGTGCTACATATTATGAAAATTTTCAAATGAGATAAGATATTAAAGCTTGATCACTTGGCAATCTGAGAACCACCAAAATAATTCTACCTTGTCCTACTCACATGGACAAAACAACTCTGTGGCTCACCTTCTCTTTACACTAAATATTGTCACTCACCAAACAATCAACAAGAAAACCAAAGCAACAATACCACACCAGACACTTCTCCTACTACTCTCTTCTTATATATCTACATTCCGAAACTCGAGACTTTTCATCTCACTACATTTCATTTCCTAACATGGCTTCTACTGGAGTTCTTGCAGAGATTATAGACGGAGATGTATACAAATATTATGCTGACGGAGAATGGAAGAAATCCACCTCTGGTAAAAGTGTTGCTATCATCAACCCTACTACAAGAAAACCTCAATACAAAGTTCAAGGTGATTTCACTTTCTCTTGTGTTTTATTTTAGTTATTTTCTGTAATTCTATACGTGGACGTGATCATGTGATTCCATGCAGCTTGTTCACAAGAAGAGGTTAATAAGGTTATGGATTCGGCAAAATCAGCGCAAAAATCATGGGCGAAAACTCCACTTTGGAAGAGAGCTGAACTTCTTCACAAGGCTGCAGCAATTCTGAAAGAACACAAAGCTGCAATTGCAGAATGTTTAGTCAAAGAAATAGCAAAGCCAGCTAAAGATGCAGTCACTGAGGTTGTAAGATCTGGTGATTTGGTTTCTTACTGTGCCGAAGAAGGAGTGAGGATTCTTGGAGAGGGAAAGTTTTTGGTTTCTGATAGTTTTCCTGGAAATGAAAGGACCAAATATTGTCTCACTTCTAAGGTTTATCCATCTTCACTAGATAAGCCACTTTTTTTGTTCATAATTAACTGATTATTGTGTTGTTTTGCTTGGTTGAGGAATATGTATAAGAAAGTTGCAATTTGATTTTCAGATTCCATTAGGAGTTATTTTAGCCATTCCGCCTTTTAACTATCCTGTCAATCTTGCTGTCTCGAAAATTGCTCCTGCATTGATTGCTGGAAATTCTATTGTCCTTAAGCCTCCAACTCAGGTAATTATATGACACAAGCACTTGCCATAATTGCTTCTGCATAAGAGATTTCTTCTATAATGTTTTCATAAGCTAGTTTTGAGAGGTTATGTTAGAACACTTTTGTTGTTTAGGGAGCTGTTGCTGCTCTGCACATGGTTCATTGCTTTCACTTGGCTGGTTTTCCGAAAGGCCTAATCAGTTGTGTTACTGGAAAAGGCTCGGAAATTGGCGACTTTCTTACAATGCATCCAGGAGTCAATTGTATAAGGTGATTGATTATATATGTGATATAATGCTGTGATAGACAAATCCGTCTTAAGTTTTCGGAGACTTTGTGTAGGTTAACTTTAGTTTAGGTTTATCAAATCAATCAGGCCCTATTTTGACATGAGCGACAAATATTTTATGAGACACTCTCTAGCAACAATTTAAACATGTCAAATTTTGGGATCTATGCTAATTCACCTTACACGCCCTCAAAACAGTCTTTTAGTATTTTTTTTTTATACCTCAACTGACTTTGAACCTTGCTATGTGCCAGCTTCACTGGTGGAGATACTGGCATTGCGATTTCAAAGAAGTCGGGTATGATTCCTCTACAAATGGAATTGGGAGGAAAAGATGCTTGCATTGTACTCGAAGATGCTGATCTTGATTTGGTTGCTGCAAACATCATAAAAGGAGGTTTTTCATACAGGTGAATGTCATTTTTACGCGTCGGCTTTATAAAAGTGTGTAAGGCCATTGCTACTAACCTGAACTTTTGTTTTAATAATGTTTTTTCCATGAAAAGTGGTCAGAGGTGTACTGCTGTGAAGGTTGTTCTGGTAATGGAATCAGTTGCTGATGCTTTAGTCGAGAAAGTGAAGGTTAAGGTAGCGAAACTAAGTGTTGGACCACCCGAGGATGACTCTGATATCACACCTGTTGTATCAGAATCATCAGCGAATTTCATTGAAGGATTGGTGAATGATGCGAAAGAGAAAGGTGCAACATTCTGTCAGAAATACAAGAGAGAAGGGAATCTCATTTGGCCTTTGTTACTTGATAATGTTAGGCCAGACATGAGAATTGCATGGGAAGAACCATTTGGACCAGTTTTGCCGGTTATTAGGATCAATTCTGTTGAGGAAGGTATTCATCATTGTAATGCTAGCAACTTCGGACTTCAGGTAAAGTCATACGAGTTCAATGATTATGATTGACTGACAGTATACAAAATCTTTATACTGACGAGTTGAACGTGTTCAGGGATGTGTATTTACAAAGGATATCAATAAAGCAATAATGATTAGTGATGCAATGGAATCAGGAACAGTTCAGATAAATTCAGCACCAGCTCGTGGACCGGATCATTTTCCATTTCAGGTGAACCATCTTAAAAACCTATCAGAATCCGTTAACGTCAGGTGTCAAACTTAACACATTTACGATTCTAAAACATGTTTGAATGACATTGACAGGGAATAAAGGACAGTGGAATTGGATCACAGGGAATTACCAACAGCATAAACATGATGACAAAAGTGAAAACTACTGTGATAAACTTGCCTAGTCCGTCTTATACCATGGGCTAATAATACTATATTTTAGTATATGTCATTGTGATCAGATAAATAAGTATTGTTGTTGTGACTCTGTGATATTTCTGTCACATAATTGCTTCATGTGTCTACGCACTTATCATTTTAATGTTTAATATCATGTGATGAATGAATGAATCTAAAATATATGTACCTTGTCAACAAGTTAGGAATATGATTTTGTTCCAATTAAGTTGAATGTCAAATCAATGAAATTAGCAAATATATTGAACAACTTTACTAAGCACATCGTGTAATACTTTACTTTTTTGTGTGCTTAGTGGTGCTTATTAATGAAGTGAAAACCAAAACGGATGTTTAGTTCATTGTAGGAGTATGCTAAAATAGATGACATTTTTGATGGAACAAATTCGATTTCTTGAGAGTGAACAAAGAAAGTTGAAGCAAGTTTGTTGTATGGAATTGTTGTGACTATATGGAGAAGAGAGTTATAATTCTACACAATAGCGTGTGTTTATACACAAGTGCTTAATAACTACTTTAACTAATTTTCAAAACAAACTACATTGCTTGTGTTACAAGAAACAACCAAACCATGAATTATACACCAAAACACTCCCACTAATTCATGTTTTCCAAACTTTTCACTCAAATGAGTTTCCCGGTGCAATACTCGAGCTCTAGTTTACCTTTGTTCACTCGGTCTCTAAGAAAGTGATGCCTCCTCTCTATATATTTACTTTTGCCATGACACATAGGGTGATTAGCCACTTCTGCTTGCAATACTCGAGCTCTAGTTTACCTTTGTTCACTTGGTCTCTAAGAAATGATACCTCCTCTTTATATGTTTATTTCTGCCATGACACATAGTGTGATTACTAAGTCTATAGTTGATTTGTTATCTACTAACAACTTCATCTTCTTAGGTTCCATGATCTTGAGCTCTTATAACAATATTTCTATCCACAAATCTTGGAATGCCGCATAAGAAGCCACTACATATTCAGCTTCACAAGATGATAATGCTACTATTCCTTGCTTCTTTGAATTCCAAGAGATTGGAGCACCTCCAATCATAAATAGGCAACATGCAGTACTTTTTTTTTTTCCATCTTGATCTCCACTGAAATCAAATTCTGTATAGCCATGTACCACTGCATTTGTGATGGTGTTCTTCTCTCATGCAGCAGCCTTCCATGATCCAAACATCTTCTCTATCTAGCATTCAACACAACCAGCAACGGCGGCGACATCACCGTTTTGTCCATTCCACCGCGTGTATTCAGCTGTGTAATCAGCAGTTTCAGTGACCATCCTTTCCTTGAGAAGAAGTAAGATCTAGGAGTGATGCGGAGGAGTCGAATATGCATGTTCGCAAAGCTTTGATGGATATCAACGAAAGTCCAGTTTACGTTCTTCTCAATTCTGAGGTAGAAGGAAAACTCATATCTGTGGATACCTCTGAAGTTGCATTAGAAGCAGTACATAAAGGGCTCGTCTTATAAACAACGTGTCCGCGAGAAGGAAAATCATCAACCGTTAACCAATAACAGAAACTCTAAATCCAAGTTGACTAACATATCAGGTAAATATAGTTAGTTTTTGAACATCATCCAAAGGGAGCAGGTTATTAACTGAACTTCAATTCAACCAACAGCAAAAACTCTAAAGACAGGCCACAATGTAAACTATCTAAACTGAACCTGATCCAGAAATGAACAAAGTCAAGCCTCCAAATGAGAAGCACTAAACACAACAATATTCAGAATGCACCTCATTCAGAGAATCTAATGATGCTATCCCACTAACCTACACACTAATGCTTAACAGCACCAAAAGACCCTCACCAAATACAACCAAACTTCTCTAAACAGTCAAACCAAGAAAACCTGCTCTCAAAAATCCAACAGTCCACACAAGACCTCATTAACACAAATCTGGCTTCATCCTACCCAAACTGCTTTTCATGAAAACACAACCTGGCAACAGCTAAATAAAAATTGACAAACCTAGTCTAAAAACAGTCATGGATATAAACTACATTGTTGGATCCCAACTCCAACCATCAAACTAAACTTAAAGTCTAAAGTCACAACTCTAAACTAAAGCTGAACACAAACAGGAGCCTGACATTACAATGCCTAGAAAGCTAATGCAAAGAGCCAACCACTCTAAGTATCTCATCATGGATTGATAAATCCATCTTCACATAAATTCTAACAGCAGCGCTTATATGAGGCACTTAAATGACAGTCCATGATACAAACCCTAATGGCAGACCATGATACAAACTCTAACCATACTAAACAGATCCAGAAACATGAACAAAGCTAAGTTTTATCAATGAGAAACATCAACCCTAACACATGATATTGGCCTTTCATACATTTTGACAGTATAGCTAACAAACTAATTCAACCAGCCAAAAATGGAAGTAAACAAAGTTCTGATGGGATCTAAACTGCCCAAACCTCCTACCTACCTGGACAGCAAGCTAGGTATCAAAGCAACTATGTTAACAAAACTGGAACCTCAATTTGTCAATGAATTCAAACAAGTTCATGATGGCAGTCCTCCCTCTCTCATACCAACAGAGAACCTAACAAAACACCAACCAATCCCTAATGGCTATGGCAAGCAATGGACCTGCATAGAACCCAACCTAAACTCTAACAGCATCCCTCAAACAAGGAAACCTAAAACAGTCCACAATATAAACTCTAAAGACAGGTCACAATGTAAACTATCTAAACCTATGCACCTTACTAAATGCTAGACTAATCCAAAAAACACTAAGTTGAGGTTCACAAACAACAAGCAACAATGCTAAGATCAGCGCACTAAATCTAGGCCTGAAGTCAGCTCTAAGGAAACAAACTAAATTAGGTGAAAACAAAACAGGCCTGTAGCACTTCAAGCAGAAGAGTCAGCAGACTCAGTGGTAGGTCAATATGGATTGACAGATCCAAACTTCCTAGCAGCAGCTTTAAGCAAGACTCTAAAGGTAGCCATCAATCAAACCCTAATGGCAGCCACAAAGCAGGTTCTAACTAAGCTAGACTGACCCAGAAACATGAACAAGGTCAAGCCTCCAAAAGAGAGGCACTAAACATAACAAAGTTCAAAATGCACCTCTATAATCTAGTTGACCAATCTAACATCAAAAGCTCCAACAGAACTAAGGTAACAACCTCTAAACCAAAACAAAAAACAGCCTTCAATGATCTAATCAACAACAAACTTAAGTCCTCAAGACAGCCCTTATTTGGTCCTCCAGTTCTGTTCCAAAACCAACAGCAAAAACCTAAACTCCTAACAACCTGATAGAAATCCACACCTGAGTTAAAAAACTAAGTTTTCAAGCACAGTCATAGGCAGCAGTGAAACCTGCCTTGAATATGTCAAAATCCAATTTAAAACCAACCATAAAATAATATCATAAAATAATATCATAAAATAATAAGGGCAAAAGTAAATGAAGATTTTTCACATGCTGTCATGATGATAAAGAGTAAAGCACCAAATCCATCGTCTACTTTGTAGGACGCCCTCTTTAAAAGAACAAAACAATAATATAATGATGTTGCATAAAGTTTCCAGTTTCCATAATAACCATGCAAATTCAACATATATATTATTCACCCAAATTCAAGATTTAACCAAATATGAGGAACACTGCAGCAATCATCTAATACATAAAATCGTATCTACCAAACTACATATTACTCTAGAACAATTTGAAAGAATGTGTTTCAACAACAGTTGTCACCTTCAAAATTACAGCATAAACTGCAACTTTACACCTACCACCTTTTTCTCAATGGCAGTGCAACATTTTCAAAGACCCCTGTTAAATTGCAATAGAATATAGAATATATCAATACAAGAAAAACAAATCATAAAATAATAAGGGCAAAAGTAAATGAAGATGACAAAATTTTCACATGCTGTCATGATGATAAAGAGTAAAGCACCAAATTCATCGTCTACTTTGTAGGGCGCTCTCATATAGGCCCCTAAGATTATAAGAATATGAATATTTCCAAAAGGACCGTGACTCTGTCAAATTTTACTCACATTAGTCTTCAATTCAATATAAGTTTATTCTAATTCCCAACTCAAAAAGAATAGACACCGGCCTAGCCTCACACGAAATGGGACTAAGAAAGATAAGTGGTTCAGAAAAAAAAGAAGTTATTAACAAAATAAATTTATGGACTTTTCAAATTATTTATACAACTCACTGTCAAGTAGATGATAAGAGAATACTATGGAGGATGGCGGTCCATGGCGGAGAGCCAAAATCCCGCCATACCGACCGCTTCACGGCGCCGTTATAGCAGATTATGGTGGAAAAACTCGCAATATCGACCGATATTTACCATTGCAGCAAGCCTAAAAACCGCCATCTATATTAATCATACCGGCTATGGCGCCACAATTTGAACACTGCTAGCAACCAAAAAAAGCCTCTACATTTGGTTGGAAAAGGGAGTGACCTGAGAGCTAGATATTGAATGTTTACCTTTTCAATCCCCAAACTTTTGAAATAATTAAATGACATGTACTTGTGTCAACTTAAAACAGCAATTTCAATAGTTTGCAACAAGATTCTCCTTTATGCATAAACAACAATTCACATAGGATATCATTCTTAAGAATGAATGTGTGGTTGGTCATAACTCAACCCTACAACATTCTTTCATCTCAGCTGAAAACTCACATATCACTATGCTCACGAGATTGCATTTTTGTTATCTTATGATGAATGAATAGCCCAACAAGACTGGAAATATGATAATTAGAGAGAAAATTATTGTAGCTACACTTGTAATAAAATGATAAAACCTCATTTTAGGTGTTTTGGCCATGTGAGGAAAATACCCATAGTTATAGATAGCACCTCTAAATAGCCATGGCCAATAGAGTCTAGGAAATAAGGCTTGATTATTGTTGCTGTTAACCCTATTTTATTTCTCAGAAATTCGAAGGCAACACCAAGATATCATCTGCCAAATAACTGAGAGGAAAGA